CCTTCTTTATGGAGTTTTCCAATATTCCTTAGATGTTTACGTATTGTTTCATGAGAGACATGCAATTTCAGGGTCATTTCACAAGTGTGTGCCTTGGGTTAAACTCAACAAGTGTCTTCAGAGCATCAACATTCATTCCAACAAGTTGGCCCCTGACATCACAGTTTTACGGCTAAAATCACCTGAACGAAATTTTCTGAACCATTGTTTCATGTGAGACATGCAATTTTAGGGCCATTTCATGAGTGTGTTGCCTTGAGTTAGACTCAACAAACGTCTTCAGAGCATCAATATCAATTCCAACATGTCGGCCTCTGCCATCACAGTTTCTAAGGCTAAAGTCACCTGAACGAAATTTGCTGAACCATCGTTGACACTTACGAACATTCAAAACATTTCCATAAACTTCTTTGATATTCTTTGTGGCTACAAAGACATCGTTTCCCTGCTTGTATTCAAACAGCGTTAAATGCCGAATGTGTGTCTCATCGTATGCCATCACCATAAGGATTAGAGTATACTAAACTTTACACATTATATAGGTTATGTTAACGTGATGTTTGGGCAATTCGTTTAACTATTATATGTGATGAACGTTTTTTTGGGGGGTGGTTAATGAAAGTGTTCCAAAATGTGACATTAATTTCTTGACAACCAAATATTATATGAAAATGGAGTCTTGTACAATGTACTTACTTGTGGAACTGACAAATTCTCAGTGGTAATTATATGTAGTGGTATAACATGTAGTCAGATTGTAATACATTGTCCTGTAACTTTAGAGGAAAATTCTCAAACGAGTAGACCAGTAATAGATAAACAGACATGATCCTCAGCCAAGTCAGTGGCCACCCAAGGAGAATCGAAAATACCCAAGTAGACCTGAGGACAGGCTCTACAGCTTGAGGACATTGTAATAGGTTAGAAGGATAAAAATAAAGGAGGATGGCGTTCCCCATCCTGGTTGGAGCTTTGAGCATCAGATGGAGAATGGTTGTCTCATCTCCAGTGTCTCAAGTGCTAGGGAAGAAAGAGTAAGCAAAGGTGGGAAAAATACCCACTAACAAGCACCATCAGCATTCATATGACATTCTCAGTTTACTCCAAGAGGGTATCACAATCTCAAGAAGCACCAGTGCAGAAGGTGAAATTTTGTGTAGGACAATCACAAAGGTATATGTAACATGCAAGAGTTCCAGCTATGAATCAATTCAAATATTGAACCTTATATAACAAAACCATATTCTTTTTTCTCTTATTTTATTCATGTCAAATGATTCCACAACTCCAGATGCCTATATAATTATTAAGAAGTAACCATTGATGACAAAGCTATGGGCTCATGTGTTAACTAAGCAGCAAACAGAGAATAATGCACTTTTTATGGATTCCATCTGGCTTGAAGAACCAGAAGTTAAATGATATAAATAAAATTTTATGAACACGTTCAAATTCGTCTACATGCTGGCCTGCATAATATCCTCTAAAAACAACTATGATTGGGAAAATTTGGGTGAAATATAATTATTAAATGAATTTTTAAGAAAAATGGGAACATAATGGTAAACAACAGATCAACTACACAAGTAAATTTGTTAAAATAGTTGAAGCAAGATCCATAGAGTGTGATTCATTGTAAGGAATAAACAACATTTTCTGAAACCCTCTAGAAAATTCAGTGTGTGTCAGATCACAATAAGAATCAAGATCAGTCATGGTAAGTAACATAATAGGTTAAAAACAGTGACTACCTTCTCCTGCAGCCCAAGTTTTAGGGAGGAAGGCACTATCAGAGTATAAGGTTTTCTGAGAAAATAAGATATGAAAAGCATTGAGGACATAGATATCAGAACACCATCTATCTGATGCCAGTAATAAAAGAAAATATGGTGAAGCAATATGTTGCTAAGGGTTCAAAAGTAGGAGAAGCCAAGAAGCATAATATGAAACCCTAGTCCAATTTAGGATATCTCTCTCTGTAAAGCAATACATTCTGGCTTTTCAAAATCAATATCATGTGTTTCTGATTGGTTGAACAATCTGATGTCCTTATAAATAAGAAGTCACAGTGCTACCACATCATATGACTCAGAGGTACAGATTGAGAGTTTTTTAAATACTTTCTTTTGAAATTAAGGAATTAAAACTTAGGTAATATAAAAATGTGAATTAGAAACTATGTTTTGATGCTACGTTTACTGACATACATTGAGAACAAAGTAGTTAAGTTAAATTTGGAAAGTAGCTCTGTGATAAGGTTGTGACGTGTACACCTTGACCCACTCATAGGGTTAATGAATATCAATCAAATAGAAACAGATTGGATATAAATGGAAATTTCTGATCAACATTAAAAAAAAAGTTCTACAATGAAGGGAAGTATTTTTAATGCTGCTCTTTCAAAACAGAGTTTGCCCCCCAGTGGCACAGCAGTATGTCTGTGGACTTACAATCCTAGAATCCGGGTTTCGATACCTGTGGTGGGCAGAGCACAGATAGCCCATTGTGTAGCTTTGTGCTTAATTACAAACAAACTAACTAAGACAAAACAGTGTCCCACAAACAATTATGGAAAATTTCACAAACTAAAAAACTAGATACTATTTAACCTTCTGGATAAGGGTAGATCAAAGTGCATGTCACAGCATTTTTATAGTAGTTACATTCGAAATTTAATTAAACTACTTTATTATCAATATATTTCAATAAAATAAGTATCAAAATGTAGTTTGTAATTCAAATTTTAATATAAGTTTAACTTCTTACTTTCAAAAGGAAATATTCCAAATTCTGAATTGCACATTTCAGATATTTTTTCTACTTCTAAAAGAGCTTCTGAGTTTGGCACAAATTACACCCTTAGAGTATAGATACTACTAAGACAAAGTGTAGATTTATGGCCTCCAACATTTTCACTTTACTGAGATAAAAAGCAGAAAATCAAACTCACATGCCACACCTTGTCTTTCAAAAAATGCCAATAAATTCTCTCTGATATTTGTTATTGGCTTATTTATAACAAACAGAAAATTTTAGTCTATTGAATTACACTCAAGGCTAGCAAGTTCTGAAGATAGTTTTTGAATTATTTGGCCTACAGTTTCACTGTTGCTATTACTGAAATTACTTTCACCAGCTAATGAAATTATTTGACAAAAAACTTAACTTATACCTTAGTTAGAAAGCCAGTTAAATTATAATAGTTTTGGAATTATTTTTTTTTTGCATGTTGAAATTTTATGTCTTAAATTGCATATTTGAAAATAAAAGGAAAATTAAATGCTGTACTACCAACAACCCTAGGGTTAACTTTTGTCAAGATGTCAAGAGCAAAAACTTGAGAAAAATGACAAAGTACACACATAAGTACTAAATTTTTTTGGTACATTTTATAATTATTGTTATAAAAGTAACTAATTCTAAAAATTTAAAATATATTAGGTTAGATAACAAAACTTATATGAAAAAAAAAATCTAAAAAAAATACTTATGATAGCACACACACACACATATGGCAAGTGTAGCATGTTGATAAGTGAATCCTTTGTTTACACAAAGCTACCCCACTGTGATAAATTGCTTTTATCATACTCTAAGTGCAGCAGTAAAACAATAAATCTAAATGACTGGAAGATTAAAAAAGTATTAGCTTCAGCTGTAAGAATAGTGTGTAAATGTCTCTTACAAGTGTTTTACAAATAAAAAAGGGTAATTTTGATTTATTTTGTAATTTTTTGTTACATGGTAGTGGTTATAGGTTAGTCAAATGGACCAAGCCCACAATAACAGATAAAACATAAAGTTTTATTCAAAAAACTTTTGATATTCATTTATGAGTATCTAGAGGTTAAGCAAATGAAAAACTGTAAGATGGGAAAGTATTTTTATTATTAACAAAAATATCATCTTGCACTCTGACTGATTACATAAAGGCTTCATAAATTCAAAGACAAACCTTTAGTAAAAATATTTAATTAAAAATTCAGATTTGTTTTTGTGTACAACAGACTTGTAATGTTTACTAAAAGCTAAGATATACTTAGTATATTCAGAGTTAGAGTATGTAAAATTTCATGGTTATGTGGTGGTTACAAGGTTGGTCAAAATGACCAAGCCCATACACAAAGGATTAATAAGTATGTTCTAAGATTCATGCAGTATTTTCAAAGTAAGAAAGAAAAATCAAGGGATATCAGTGACATCATTTTGGTCCAGAAAGGGTTAACCTAAATGTACAACAGCAAGATATTTCTTCTCTTACACTTTTCCAAATATTTTCCTGTATTATTATAATTACTACGCATATACACACATATAAACATGCAGAAAACATATGTTTATAACTGAATGCTCTGTACATTATTCAAGAATTTTGCTTATTTTTACTTCCATAAAAAAAAAAATATTTTCCAGTTAGAAAAGTTCAATAAAACATTTTCTTTAAGGAACTGGGAAAACAAATTGTCCATAAATATAGAAGGAAGATTCTGCCAAACTTATCTTGTTGCACTTGTCATACAAATTTTCTAATTCACTTTCCTTTTTCATACCTGTATCTAAACTTTGACCCTCTAGAAAACAGACCTCCTCCAGTAGTAACTGCTGGAACTTCAGCTGAGGACTTTACCCTGTTTTACAGTCATTAGATCATAATCAGTAAATTACCAAGAACGAATACTAAAGTAACTGTTAAATAAAATACAATTCTAATTTCTTATCCAGTGACATGGGTTGGTTTTAAAGAACAAAATATTCATTTACTTTCAAGTCAAGGGGCACAACTAACTGTGATTTGACTGGGTAAGGCTATGACAATACGTGAAACACATTTTTTTTACTTATCTTTTCAATAAGCTCAACTTGTTACTCTAATATTTTTAAATGAAGCACATTAAACTGATTTTATCTTTAACTGAGTTTGATTTTTTTTTCATTTGAACAGTTATTGTTGATTCCAAAAACCTAATAAAATCCTAATCTTGCTTTCAGCTAGATGATTATAAACATCTACATATATATATATATATATAAGCTTTAAATAGCATTTATTAAAACTGCAAAAACCTATTCATAGCAGCATTTAAAAATTATTTCTTTAAGAGTAACTAACTTTGGAGTAAACTCTGATCAGCTGAAGAGTCATAAGTATTTCATCATATTATTTTTAAAACTGGATGTTTTACAATGAACTCTAAAAAAGCTGTGGATTAACATTATTTATAATTAATAACCAGATTATTTTTATTATGAGCCTTTAAAGTAGTCCTTCATTTAATTTGGACCGATAAAATATTCTTTCTTTCTTTAATACAGTTTAACATAAACCTTAGAAAATTATTTTAATTTTTATTCTACTTATTTAATTGAGAATTTATATCATAACTTATATATGAAAACAATATTTCAACTCACATAAAGAAGTAGCGTTGTTCTAAAGCACATTTCCACAAATGTTTACAAGCTGCTTGAGTTGGGCATTTAAATCCAATTAAATGTTTCCTCTGTTTCATAAAATACCATTCATGAATACCACTAATTCAAATTGTCAAACACATTTAAAAGTTTCCGAACAATTATGAAAAAGATAATTCAAATATCATTACTAAAACGAATCAAATAGAATAAAATCAGAATAAGAAAACAAATAATGGATATTTTACAATTAGTTAGCTTGGTACAGTGCATTAAAACATTTGAGCTGGTGATTATGATTTTCACATGAAAAGTACTTAGCTGTCATGGAAGTGAATTAATAAATGCTTTATTAAGTCTAAGTTTTCAAGATGATAATAGCACTTCTTTCTTTTTTACATATGCCTTTGATTCTTTGCTTAAATTTAGCAGGATATCCTGCATATTTTCAAAGTTTATAAATCCATAAATATATAAACAGCTAAAATCCAATTTCAAAAGCACAGTTTAGATTAGGTTGCTTGTGTTTTGACCTGAGTTGTTGTTTTGAACAAAGCCATATTGGACTTCCTGCTGTGTCTACCGCAGGGAATTGAACCACAGATTTTAGTGTTGTAAGTCTGTAAAGTTACTGCTGACCCAGTGTTGGACAGTTGGTTTTAGAATTTTTTGGCTTGACATAAGTTAAACAATTTATGGCAATAAATTTGAAAAATAAAAACCTTTACCTATCGAGATAATAAAAAAAAACTTTATTTCAGCCAATGTTTTGCCATTGCAACTTCATCAAGGCTAATAGTGCAAGAACTGGCATGTTTTTTAAAGGTAAGTAAATGCATTGTTTAAAAGTGAGACTCCTCTGAATTACACAGAAGTGAAAGTTTGAACACCTTTTTTATATATATATTTTTCTTTTCAATTTAAACAGCAATGGAATCTCAAGAGCAGTTTGGAATACTTAGGAGAAAATCAGTTATGACAGATCTGGGATTTTTTTATAGTTTCTGTAGATGTTCTTTTCATAAACAAAAATGTTATATAATTTGAAAACTGCAAAAAGTTTCTTCTATGAAAAGACATTAGGTAAAACTAGTCAGTTTTAGAAAAATATGCTGCGGAATCAAAACCTACAGCACACACACACACAACTTATTATTTATTGAAAATGAGCTATATTTATTATATAAAAATTGATCTCGACCAAGAATATTGTTAGATAAAATATTGTTATCTAGCCTGACAACGATAATAGTGACACCATTTTGAAAAGGTCCAAAGAAATCTTTGAACGTTTTTGTCATTTTTTATGATTTATTTTGTTGATTGCAGTAGTAACCCCTTCTACCAATTATAGCTTCAAATTGTGACTACTGTAATCAGCAAAATATAAGGTATTGAGATAAACATTTTAATGAACATCAATTAAATTGAAATTGGTTGTACATATAAAAAGAAACTTTCTGACCAACAATAAAAAAATAATTAAGATAAAAGGAATTATTCTAAATGTTTTTTAAAACAATGCTTCACAACAAAATTTTTGAAATTTTACAATATAAAAAAATGAAAAGAATTAGATTGAATGATATAGTTTTAAGCTGAAACTAGATTCCAGTTAACAAGTTTGTTCCAAGTATTTCCACTGTGTGAAGAAAAACAATCAAGGTATATCCACGACAAACCTTTAAACTTTAGGGATAATAGAAACAATTGAGGTGTTCTGAATGTCTGTTTGAGTACAGAGTAAAAGTGGAAATCGACAATAGTATCATAAACGACAGATTTATATACTTATTTGTGATAACATTTTTAAATCTGATCTGTTTTTTGCTTTTTTTTTTAAACATACATGCACAGATGATATTAACCCTTTGTGCAAGGGCGGGAGTCAAAGTGTGCATTTGTCACATTGAAAATTTAATTAAACAATTTTACTATCAATGTACGTCAATAAAACTGTCATTGAAATATATATTATAATTCAAATTTTTATATTATACAAGTTTTAATTTCTTAGTTTAAAAAATAAATATTTCAATAAATTCTCAATCTTCACTTGCATCAGTATGTCCCTCTGCTCCGAATTCTCCATTCTAGATTTACTTTCTTCTCTTACATGGGTTTCAGAATGTCCAACAGTTAGAAACAAGAACTATAGATACAGACAGGCCAGAATTTAAAATAAGACCTTCCCACCTTCTTTATTTTGTGAGATACCAATAAATTTGTCCCACCCACTGCAGAAATTCCTCCAAACTCTTCATGCTTTTAAAATTACTTATTTACTCATGCTTACTTGTCAACGGTACATTTATGTCCAAAACATTTTGTCACTTACATGATTATGATGTCTTTGCATTTTGGTAAAAGGTATCATTTCCCTAGCAGGTTTTATTGAGTGTAGATTGAAGTTGATGCTCCAGTAAGTAATGAAATTCTTTTAACTTATTTGTAGGTTATTTAGAAAAACAGATAAATTATAATAGTTTGGGAGGATTTTGTTTTACTGTTAAAATTATTGTTTGTGTTTTAAAATGCATATTTAAAAGCTGCATGGAATATTTTTCTGTAGCATGAAACTTTGCTTACATTGAACTCCTGCTGACTGATTTATTGCTTGTTGCAATAGAAAGACAAGATTGAAAGAGCAATAAAATTAAGTGTAAGCAACTGTTAAAAGTTATGAAGCATAGAGCTCTTAATACAAACAACTGTAATTTTCTGCTACAAAATTTTTTATTATTCTTAACATGAAAATCATCTTGCACTCAAACTAGTTGGAATCTGAGTTAGACTGACTTAGTAAATTCAGAGACACATCTTTAGTAAAAAACTTTATTTTGTGTACAACATACTTGCAATGTTTACTAAAAGCTTACACAAAAATACACATAGTAAATTTGGAATTATATCAAACGTTAATTCTCTTATACTGGGTTGGCCTAATGGAGTGACCCCTGTGCACATGTGGTTCAACATACATTTAGGATGGTCTTATCAGAAAAAAAAATATTGCTCTTTGACTTTATTGTGATAGCTTTATCTATTAACTAAATATAAAACACAAAAAATGAAAGAAAACTACTGTAGTTTTACAGCATGAAAATTGCTACATTTCTACAAGTTTTGCTCATGTCTTAAGTAAACTTAAACATTGTGAACAACCTGTTTTTTAATATAACTTTTACACTTGGTATCTAATCATTTTAGAAATTTTAATTTCACTACAAAAGTCTGACTTAATATAACTAATTTTTATGAGTTCACCAAGGTAAAAAATTAAATACAACTTACCTTTTTCCTAGCATCCTATACAATAATAAAGAGAAAAAAAGAAAAAGAAACACGTATAAATCATGGTCATGGTTAGTATCCTATATGATCACCAAATTCTAATTACAGCTATGTTGGTATTACAGCTACAACACAGCTTCAGTTGCTACACATCAAACCATCTAAAGTTCTAATGAAGACCAAAATTACCATGTACAACATCTTTTTTGAATGTGTACCCCAATACACTAAAGAAACAAAAAGACAAAGATTGAGAATTCAAGTGCATAATAGTCATACAAGGATCTGAAATAACAACCTACCTGCAATAGCTAATTGGGGTCAGAGAAAACCACCATAAAATATATGGAATACACTACAATAATGGAATATGACCATAAAATATAAAGAGAAATCCTCTATATTCATCTAAATGATCATACACTCAATAAACTTAGCACAGAAATCAGTCTAGCCTGGTACTCCTCTTTGAACCATTCAAACAATTAGTTAATTCAAATCCAAGTGGGTAAGATTTTGGACAAGTGGATAATGTACCAGCCTTTCTAACATGAAGACCCACTATCAAATCCTGTCCCCTGCCAGTACAGTCCTTCTCAGGAATTCCCTATACACAGCACCAGATTAGCAGACAAAACATGGGATATATACTAATTGATGTAAAACAATTAGTAACTAATTAATAATTAGTCATAGGTAATCATATATACTACTAACCATGACAAAGGTTGACATCAGTTACCACAAACTTTATTGTAAGTATCAGATGTATAAATATGAAGTGATATCCAAATATCTTTTCATATTGTATTTTACTGCAAACATTGCTAAAAAAACTCTTGACTTTATTACACCAAACCATATTCAAATATGGGATAAATGAGAGCCAAGTCCTAACCAAATTTTTAGAATTTATCAGAATTTATTTTATTTTACTTTTTTTCAGCAATAGATCACATATCCGTTAATTCTTACAATATGAAAATACATGGCTTAATTCACTTTCTATAGGTATTGTTTCGAACTAATTTATGCATATGATTTTTATACTAACTTCTCAGAAAAAAGGAATTAAAATATTCCTTTTTACTAAGGTAACATAGCTAATAACACATGGTTAGGTTTAGGAGATGGGGTAAGTTGTTCAGTAAAACAGTGAAATAATTTTTCTCTCTTTTGGTATAAGCATAATCTAGAAAAATCAAAACAACAATTCTCCTATCTATACTAATAAATGTGTGTTATAGTGCATCTAACAGACCTATATTATCATGTATTTGACTAAAACTTACGAAATTGATGACATTAACCCTATAATCTCAAGATAAATTGTGCACATTACAACCTCTTTACAGTTACATTCAAAATGTATAATTTTATTAGTAATATACATTACTAAACATGGTATTAACCCTCTTGCCATGAGCATCCTTTACTGCAGATGTCATGAGGTTTTAGTAAGTTACATTCAAAATTTAATTAAACTACAATCTGTGTATGTTATACCAATTAGTATAGCATAAAAATGTAGCTAATAACCCATATTTTATTATTATATATGTTTTATATTCTTAATTTTATAAGTCAATATTTAAAAAAAATCCCAAATTTCCCCTAGTGTGAGGAATGTGACATTTTCTCTAGGCATCATCCTCTTCTCTAACTTATCCACCACCCCCTCCATTAAGTACAAATTTTAACGTAAATTACTCAATGTAATATTGATATCACTCAGACAAAACATAATTTTCCTAGCCTTCAATCTTGTTTGGTTACAGAGCCATGAAATAAAAAAATCACACCCCTCTTGCCACACCCACCTGTCACATCCTCTTTTTCAGAATTTGTTAATAGTTCTCTCTTATGCTTAATATTATATTATTTATAACTAACGGAAAGCCAAGATTTCCATATATCAAATGATGTATTATATTATGATGTTCTCTAAACACAGGATTGTGAATTTTTCTTTCAGTACAAGCTTCATTCCCATGGGAAACATATTAACTAGCTTGGATGAATTTGTTACGAATTTTGTCACATAGTTAGAAAACCAGAAAAATTGTGATAGTTATGTGACATTGTCTGCTTTTTGCATGTTATTATTCTATATTCTTTGGTGCATTATTTAATTAAATACAAATTATTTAGTGCATCACTACTATTCGTATAAAAAGAAGGGTTAAGTGTCATTGACAGTTGGCAGCAAAAAAAAGAAGGTCCAGGGATGTACTTTATTTCTTGTTTTTCATGTGTATTTTTTTATCTATTATTACAAAAGTAACTAAAATGTAAAATTAAGGATCTCTTTATGTTAGTTAAGGATAAATTAGGCAAAATAAATAATAACGATAAAAAATTTTCAAGAGGCAAACATGCAAGCAGCTCGGAGCAGTTTGTGTATAATGTAATTTGATAGTGTAACGTAAACCCCACCTTCCACAAGTGACTTACAACTTATAATAGTAGTTATACACAGTTCAAAGGGCAATAAAACAATACAATTTAAGTATAAATATATCTATACTATTACATGTTTAAAGCTACTTAGGATAATCAAATGTAGTTTCATGTTACAATTTGAAGTCATTCTAGAAATAAAGAAGAAAAAAAGTAATTTAGATATATTTAGATTTCTTTTTGTTGTTTACAAGGTCAATCAAATTGAAAAACCTTGTAGAATTAGGGTAGAGAAAATAACAAATAAAATATAAAGTTTTACTGAAACAAACCCCATCTGAAATGTATTTAGGAGGTTTTAGAGATTACGCAATGGAAGTTAAAGATTTTTGAGATGAAGAAAAGTACTTTTTATCTTTTCATGAAAATCAATTTGTGTTTAAACTAGTCAAAAAAAAAAATGATATGTTCACAGACAAAATCTTTATTACAAAATACTTCACTACAAAATCCAATTTTTTGTATGTAAAAGATTTGTAATGTTTACTGAAAGTCTGCCAAATTTTGGGAAGATACACATACTATATTAAAAGTTAGAATAGTTAGTAGTATCAAATGAGTATAAAGTGGTCATGTAGTCAGTCAATTCAAATGAAAATATTTGAATAAATTCTCAATATTCCTTTTCTGTGCAAGTAATTCATCTCCCCTTTTACAGTTTTCAACCAATAAGAAACACAAACTATAGATATTGGCAGGTCAAAACATACATTTTTTTTGTTTTAAAATGTATATTTGAAAGCTACATGAATTTTTATTTGAAGAGGTAACTTAGTGAAAGAAAGTGAGGCCTAGCACAGTTAAAGCTTGTATTTTTAAAGATCATGTGTGTTACAATACACAATCTGAGCCTCCTACCTTTTCAAGTTACTGTGATAAGTATATATATATACCCATTAGTGAAACTCTTCCAATCTTATCATAGTTTCAAAAGAATTTATCTATACCACTTATTATTATTTGATGGGCATGTTTACAACTCATAAAAAATGATTTTCTAGCTAACAGAACTTTAATACAGTTATTTCTTTATTGGCTGGCATATGTATATTTTTTGTCTCAAATAGTGTGTGATTGTTACTATTCATCTCTGAGAAGCAAATGAAATTTTTTAACTTGCTTATAGCTTAGTTAGAAAGCTGGTTAAATTATAGTAATTTTGGGACATTATATTCTAGTGCCTGATATATATATATTTCAAAATGTATATTTGAAGAAGTAATTTAATGAAAAAATGTGAAGCCTAGTGCAGTTACAGCTTGTACTTTTAAAGATCTTAAATGTTCCTGCACTTTGCTTGTGGTGTTTAATGATGTGCTAATGATCTATTGTTGTGATTTTATTGCTTTTGATGGGAGGATTACTGCTCAAATGAGTATGAACTACAGAAAAAAACAACATAAATTAGAGAAAAGGTTAACAGTTTAAACTATAAAGATAAGATATTTAATTCATCAAAATGATCCATCCAAAAAAGAAGAAAAAAATTGATGATATCACTATAGTTAATGTTAGGACAGAGAATGGATAAAAGACAAAGTTTCCCTGAAAATTTGGAGACAATTCTAATATTCATTTAGGAGGTTTTAGAGGTTATGCAAATGAAATATAAAAACTGTAAGATGAAAAAGTATTTCTATTTTTAACACAAAAATCACCATGCAGTCAGAATGACCCAATAAAGTTTTGGAAATTCACGGACAATCTTTAGTAAAAATATTTATTAAAAATTCAGATTTTTTTGTGGATAAGACTCGTAATGTTTACAAAATACTTGCCAAAGTTTGTGAAGATACATGTAGTAAATTCAGAATCTTATTATAAAAATAATCCATTGTATGTGTGTCTGCATCTATCAGCCAGAGTTAGCTAGCTCAATTACCATAATATTAATATGGTAACTGAAAACTGTCAGGCAGTTACATGGGCTAATTTGTTTTATGATTATTGGCTGAGTGGAGGGATAAAAAAATTCCAGCATAGAGCACATTTCCACTTTTTTTATAAACTTCTGGCTTTGAGTTAAAATGCACTAGTATTTAATCAGTTACATTAGTTAGTAATTACTTTCCATAAATGGGGGTATGCATTTAGCAACTAATGGAGTCATTAGAGATTTAATAACAAAAGAAACAAGGAAGGGAGAATATTATTTAACATTGTCCTTTATAAAATTGTTTGTTTTCTTAATCCTCATCAGCACACCCGGGGTCCACATGGACCCCAATGACTTTCTCGGTTGTATACCTTTTTTGTATACAAATTTATATCAGTTCTTGTAATTGTCAAGCAGAAATCTGGGATCAATATGACACTATTGTTTTCAAAAGAGGCACATGGAGTACACAGCTATAATCTATTATTTATCTGGGGTCTATGCCAGTGTTCCTTCTAAGCAGCACAGCCACATAACAACCAATCAAGTGCTGTGCACTTCATTATTTCAGCCACACACACCCTCAGTAATGGTGAGGAGTTTCAACATGTTGACAACATTATTGACCCTGGCAGTCGATAGGCCTAAAGCCTAAATAACTGAATGGTAGCATTGCAAAGTGCCCTAAAGAACCAATAGGGTCAAATTTTAGTATTATACACTATTTAATTTCTTAATTTAAAATTAAATATTAAAAAACACAGTTAAACATCAACTCTTGTGTGTCACATGTTATGTTGAATGCAGCACTGGTTCAACTTAGGTGTCAAAATACTAAGTCTATAGTTTCGTGCAAATTAGGAACTCAAATTACCGATATGACAAGCTAGAATATAAAAGAAGAACGTCATATATTTTCTATTTGCTGAGATATCACTCATGTACTGAATCAAACACAGCGGTCCTACTCATCTCTTTCCATTTTTGGAAATGGTTCTTTATATACACTTACTTCAATATGTAACCTGTGAATAACCAATTGAAAGCTCAGAATGTCCTCCTAGTAGCTTTCTCAGCCATTTTCATGTGTTAGGATGCTATCTCATTCTTTCAAGCCAAGATTTCAAGGAAGAAGATTATGTTTTTAATCCTGCTTGAAATTTAATATTTTTTTAGACCCAAATACAGCTTAGTTACTAAGCTAGATAAGTTATAGTGGAATTCTATGGTATCAATATTGTAATTTAAGATTTTTTTGGTTATTCAAATATATATATTAAACCTAAAAAAATTATTTCGTTTCATATCCTTCATATGCGAAATTTTAAAAGGCTTAACAACCTACATCAAGCAGCTACTGAGTACAAAGGTTGTAACTAGAAGGCATAATTGTTTGCTTTACTTCTTTATTTACTGTTCTATGTTTTAAGAAAAATAACTTGAAGAACTTATTTCTAAATATCAATAATCTATATACATATATAATAATGGAAATTTTATTGTATTTTACAAAATACTAGTCTACTAAAACACAACCAAGACGTCACTTTGGAAAGAGTAAAGGTCAGTTTTATATTATTGGATGTGGTAACATGAGAGCATATGTGCCACATCATTATAGCCTCTGTATTGTTAGCCAGGCATGGCCTAAAAGGTCAATATAATAAAAATAATAAATATATATAAATGTATAATGTTATGAGATTTAAGCTATTTAGTCTAAAAAATTTATGTTTTCATGTTATAATTTGTTGTCATTCTAGAACGAAAGAGGCATAATTTATATTTATTTTCTAATTTTTTATGGTGGTTACAAGATCAGTCAATTCTACTGAACCTGTACAAAGATCCATTAGTGAAAATAACAGATAAAATATAAAGTTTTTTCTTAAGAAATGTTTGATAACTATTTGGGAATTATAAAGATTTCGTATGTTAAATTTGAAAATTTT